ATATATTTGGGTTTAAATCTACTATCTTACTACATGCCTTCTATTTGTTCTCCTTTGGGGAATCTCTAACCCTGGCACATCCTGGACTTCTTTTGTCAGGGCAAAAGTGGTCGTAGGTATTGATATCACCTCTTTTGGCTCAATCTTCTCTCAGATAAAGGCCATTGGTTCTTTTCCATGTTGTGCTCTTTGGCTCTTTGATGACTTTAGCATGATGATTTGCTTTTTTTTTCTTTTTGAGACAGAGTCTCGCTCTGTTGCCTGTCTAGAGTGCCGTGGCATGATCATAGCTCACTGAACCTCAAACACCTGGGCTCAAGTGATCCTCTTGCCTCAGCCTCTTGAGTAGCTGGGACTACAGGCACGTGCCACCACACCCGGCTAATTTTTTAAATGTTCGTAGAGACAGGGTCTCACTAAGTTGCTCGGGCTGGTCAAGTGATCCTTCCACCTCAGTCTCCTAAAGTGCTAGGATTATAGGCATGAGCTGCCACACCCATGCGTGGGGTGTTAGGGTCCCCATAGTCTGCAACCAGTTATAAGTACCTTATGTAAATACACATAGAAATAAAAATCACTGATTTCCTAATGGCCCAAGAAATTCAAATAAGTAGTAAACATTTGTGAAAATATTCATCCCTATCAACAATCTAAGAAAAGACCATTTTGCCCGGGTGTGTTGGCTCATGCCTGTAATCCTAGCACTCTGGCAGGCCGAAGTGGGAGGATCTCTTGAGGTCAGGAATTCAAGACAACCTGAGCAATAGGGAAACCCTGTCTTTACTAAAATATAAAAAAATTAACCAGGTTTGGTAGTACATTCCTGTATGCCCAGGTGCTCAGAAGGCTGAGGCAGGAAGATCGCTTGAGCCCAGGAGCTAAAGGTTGCAGTGATCTGTGATGATGTCACTACACTCTAGCCTGGGCCACAGAGTGAGACTCTGTCTCAAAAATGAATGAATTAATGAATAAGATAACATTTTAAAGCAACAATATAATACTTTCCACCGATCAAAAATATTTCAAAAAGAATCTTCATTGCTAGCCAGGTATGGTGGTACCTGCCAGTAATCCCACTGCTTGGGAGGCTGAGGTGGGAGGATCACTTGAGCCCAGGAGTTTGAGACCAGCCTGGGCAACAAAGCAAGACCCCCCCCCCCAAAATAAATAAATAAATAAAATTTTTAAAAGAATCCTCATTGCTAGGGAGAATACAGGGGAACAGACATACTTAAACACAGGGGAGTGTAGTACAACTTACTAAAATATAACATAGTGAAAGTATTAAGGGACATAAAAAATGCTTTCCTCAGTATTTCTGCTTTTGGAAATCTATTTTGAGAAAAGATCTAAAATGCAAGAAAGATTTATATATAATGATAGTTTTCACAGTATTATTTCTGATATCTTTGTAACGCTGGAATAGTAGTCAGATAACTTATGGTATATCCCTATATTGGCTAATTATGCAGGGTTTCACTTTCTATTAAAGGTGAACTAAGTGATTTGGACCAACTCTCCCACTGAAGGTAACTTAAAAAGCTGATTTAAAATAAAATGGCCCAAGCCTGTAGTCCTAGCACTCTGGAAGGCTGAGGTGGGAGGATTGCTTGAGCTCAAGAGTTCAAGACCAACCTGAGCAAGAGCAAAACCCCATCTCTACTAAAAATGGAAATATTAGCTGGGCATCATGGTGTGCGTCTGTAGTCCCAGCTACTCGGTTAGAGGATCCCTTGAGCCCAGGAGTTTGAGGTTACAGTGAACTATGATGACACCACTGCACTCTAGCCTGGGCGACAGAGTGAGACTCTGTCTTAAAACAAAACAAAAAAAGATTAAAATTTAGTCATCATTCAGTCTATATTTACTCAGCTCCTGCAGTACATGGTCTATAGTGGGTTGCTAAATTAATGAAGGGCAACCTGGTATGGGTCAGGGACACCTTCATGGACCTGACAATCTAGTGAGGGAGACAGACATCAAACAGTCATTGAGAAAAATATAGAATTATAAATAGAAATATATGCAATGGAGAAAAAGTAGTATGCTCTATGGCAGAATATTAATATAAGAGCCCCCCAAATGAAGGACAGATCAGGTTTAAGTAATGGGGGACAGGGAGATCATGGTGGCCTCTCTAAAGACGTGACATTTAAACTGAGATGAAGGGTGAGAAAGAGTTAACCAGAATGGGGAAAAGAGGTTCCAGGTGGAAGAAACAGCCTGTGTAAAAGCCCTGAAGCAGGAATAACCGCGGACAGTCTGCTGCCATAATCGCGGTTTTCACACATCACTTGTCCCTTGAGTTGGTGGGAGTATAGAGGAGGGGATGGCAAAAACTCACAACTTGGAAACGCTGAACAGGGAGAATGAACAAACTTAAGTAAGTAAGTTCCTAACACAGCACAAGAAATCACTACATTGCCTCCCGCAGGATATGCAAATAGTTAAAATGTTCTAAAACTTGATGTCTGAACAGTGATACTGACAGGGCCAGTTGCTTTTATACAAAATATACTTTGCCTCAGAAAAGGCTTCTTATTTCTAACATCTTTCCAAGGATGCTCCTAACGTAGGAAGGTATAATTTAACACAAAAACATTAATCACAGAGTGAGCGAAACAGGATGCCGACCCTACCAAAAAGCACAAAATCAATCATTTCACTTTGGGATGCACTTTTGGCAGGAAGGCTGCAGTCTTCCTTGGAACACAGTCACGTCCACTCTGCCTAGGGAAGCCAGACCAGTGGGAAGTCCCAACACAAAGTGCTAAGCAAGTCTGCAACGGACAAAGCAGGCAGGAAGCGAGGCGGCCAACGTACTGTTCTCGCGGACGAGGCAGAACTCCCACGCGCTCTGGCTCTCCAAAGTGCTCTCCAGGTCAACGGCGACATTGGGCTCACTCTGCTTCTCTAGGCGGTACTGAGGGCCTGGAAGATCAAAGAGGCAGGAGGAGGGGAGGAAGTCTGAAACAGTGAATTTAACATTTAAAAAAACACCACATACTGGCGAAAAGCTCAGGAAAATGCTGAAGTTTGTCTTGAGGGTCTAGCTATCCATGATGGAAGAGTTTGGGTTTTTTTTCCACACGGTTCCATATACTTGTCTGTTCTATTACCAGGTCTGTTTCCATTCAGTTCTCCCCAAACCACATGAGAGGTAAATGGCCTTCCAGTCACAGTGACCTGGAGTCACACATGGCTACACAGTTTCTCAGATAAGAGTATCCTCTCTGAACCTCCTTTTTCTAATATGTAATGTGAGAATACTTATACCTTGAGGAATTATTGTGAAGATCAGAGGTGATATGAGGAAAAATGCTTATTAGAAATATACCTGTCTAATGGGAGGCACTCTTATAAAGGTAGTTATTAATAATTATCTTTATAAAATAAATAATCAATGATAATCAAGAATAAGGTATGTTTAGAACTCTGATATGACAGTTCAAAAATTCAAAAAAAATTTAAAAACAGGCAAGGTTAAAAAATATATTGGTTTCTGGATTATGGTGATAGAAAGACAGTAGGGGCTAATTCACATTTTTGGTGAAATATTTATGGAAACCTAAGAGACACAGGTTCAGTAATACTGGAAACCAGGAATACTAGCTACCTTGCTCCACACAGAAGGTTCTGGCAGGCCTTAATAAAACACTGGGGCATTTTATACATTTATTCATGTATTTCTTTGTCAACCCAAATGACAATTTTGTTTTTCTCAGATAACACCTAATAGGTCCAATGATCAGATTCAAAAGACTGCTCCTGTGGTTTGTTAACGGTTATTGAAAAGATTAGAGGCAGAAGAAACTGTCTCATGTCTTATTATTTTGACTGTGAAAGGCATGTTTGGTCAGACAGAAGGAGAGGTGTGAGAGATCTGAGGAAAGCACCAGAGGCTGTGTGGGGCTCCCAGGCGGAACACGTATTTTTAGATACGTTCTTCAGCTCTTGTCAACTTGTTGACTATTCACATCCAGCGCTTCTCCTTCATCAGTCTGAGGCATTTCACTCCCTTCCAGTCGTTCTCCCCCATGCTCTATGTTCCTCTGTAGCACTGCAGAGATTCATTTCAGTGTCACAGTGTCTTTGATCTTTTCTGTTATCGGGTATTCATGAGCATTTGAGCCAATTCTCAGAGTTCTCACATACATACAGTCCTTTTCATACTATTTAAAGCTTTTAAATCTTCGCTAAGTAAACAAATGGTCAAAACACGTATAACTATTTGCTCAGAAGGCTACACATTGTTTTAAAACTCTAATACACTGTATTTAGATCAAGAAGGTACCGTGTTTCAACATTATACATAGTAAAATTCTTTTTTTTTGGTTAAAATTCTAATTTCAAAAGAATTAAATAAATAAAAGTATGGAAATGCAGGTAATTCTTACAGTTTTTGCTACCTGTCACCTGTCAGCACCAACATTTGTCAATTAACAGGCATGTTTGCTGCTGATCAATGGATGCTGGCACATCCATGGGTGGAGGGAATCACAGAAAAATCATGCTTAGCTGAACTTTTAGAAAATTTAGCTGTAGGCCTCTTCAGCCCATTAGAGGAAAGGGAGTTGCCCCGAACCTAGAGGGCTGCTTTCTAAGAAACTGGCCCGTTAAATAACCTGATTGCTCCCACCCCAATACCTCTCAGCGACTGGGTGTGTATGAAGCACTGACATCCATGTCTATGAATTTACAGTGAAATCTGGGTACAAAGTGTAGCTATAATAATTCATTTTTTAAAGACAGTCAAAATTTGGGAACAGCCTAGGTCTAACAACAGGGGGACTGATTAAAAATATTGTGAAATATCATGAAAATATTAAAAGTGATGCTACAAAAACATTTAATTTTATGAAACATGTTTATAATACGCTATTTTATGAAAATAGCAAATTATAGCACAGTAAGTATAGAATGATTATAATGGTAAAAAAATATGGTAGCAGAGTAAGGGTGACTGTAGTTGATAACGACATATTGTATATTTCAAAATAGCTAGAAGAGAGGACTTTAAATGTTTCTAACACATAGAAATGATAAAATATTCAAGGTGATGGATACTCTAAATATCCTGTCTTGATCATTACATATTCTATGCATGTAACAAAATATCACATGTACCCCATAAATATATACAAATATTATGTATCAAAAAAAAGTAAATCTAAGTAAAAAAATATATGTATGTAAAGGGTATAGGACAAAAAAGACTACAAGGTTAAAATGTGAAATGTGTTTATTGGATAGTGAGATTATTAAGTGTTTTTATTTTTCCTTTGTGTTTTCTTATATTTTTCAAATTTCCTATAATAAATGAAGGCTACTACTGTAATTTAGAAAAACACATGCTTAAAAGTTCTCCAGTTTCTACTATGCCATTTTTCCGAGGATACTATAATCATCACACATTGTGGTGTCTCCAATGAACATCCACCTGCAATAATCAAAACCAGATATGATCTGTTTATGTAGACAGATATTTCCATCTTAAGTAACCCTGCACCCTGGCATCTGTATTCTGAGAGCAGTGCACGGGGTGTTGGGCTTCTCAAGCTGTCAGCCTGCCTGAAGCTGGGTTATATATAAGGCACCCCTTTCCCGATCACTGGCTGTATCAGGAGGAATTTCAGGCTGGTCTCTTTTGTATAATTCTTTCCTTCCAATTTCTGCAGCTGCCTGGGAAATGTGGATTATGGCAACCAGGAAAGGCAGGGAGTACTAGGAAGGGTCCCTTATCCCTAAACACAACTCCCTGCTCTATTCTCAAAGCCATTAAAGGCCATCATTTCATATTCTCTTTCTAGTTTCTTGGGTCTTGTAGATATTTCTATTAAAATCAGGTTCCTGACAGTAGCTTTTAGGACTTTCTCCTCAAAGCCTAGTATGATGACGACTTTCATTTACCACATGCTCACTATATGCCGAGCATGTTATACATGTTACCTCATTGAGTCCTCACAGCAACCAGAGAGGCAGATATCATCATCCCTATCTTACAGATTAGGACCTCAATGAAGTAACTTGCCCAAGATCACAAAGGTACGAAGTAGAAAGGGGGAAATGAAACCCAAGGATCTTATGGCTCTCAAGATTGTGTGCTTTGAACCTTTCTTCCTCCTGCAAACTATAAATTACTGGCCAATTATGAAGAGGCCATAGTTTATACCATAAATATAGATTTTTGTAGATTTGTGGATTCATCTGGGTTTTCAATCATTTAACTTGTGGTTTCTATAAATTCAAAATGAAAATTATCTGAAACATTTTAGTAAAATCCACACATACCAAATATTCCATGCTACAGCTATATTCTGGGTCTATGGTAGTACAAAGCCCCCTTATGAAGACATGATCACCTTATCCTTCTATCCATCCAGGAAGACCCTCCCATCTTTCCTTAAGAGCATTCCTATCTATGCCCAGTTTTGCCAGTAACTGAAATTCTGAGTGTTGTCTTCTGCTCTGGGAACTCCTGCTCTTCCATAAAAGCTAAAGAACAACACTTCTGAACTTAGCAAAGGACTGATGGGTCTTGACTTTGGGGAAGGTAGGCTGGTTAAGATATAGATGAAACTTGAGATCCAAACTCAAATGGAAAATTGCCTCTTACGAATCTGCACTTCTTTCCTTAATTCCTGCTCAAATACTAGATGATAAGATATCTCAGAGAGAAAGACTACAGTATTTCATACATCTTCTCCGTAAACAGGCCAGACTGATCATTTCAGGCCATACGGTGTAATGAGAGGCAGGGTATATCTGAGTGGCAATACAGCCTGCTGGTTAAGGGCATGGACTTGGGGCCTGATTGCCTCAGTGTAAGTTCTGGTTGAGCAATTCAGCTATATGACTTTGGACCAATGTACTTAACCTCTCAGTTTCTTCATCTATAAAATGGGGGATAATAACACCTACCTCATAGGACTGTCCCGGGACAGTTAGAAAAGTGTCTGACACATCAGCAGTGCTATTTAAGTGTCAGCTATCATCATCATCAGACTACAACAATACTAAGAGATCATAACAATACTGACAATCTAACTACTACCATCACAGGACCTACTATGTGCCAGGTACCGTGTAGGCCTTTTCTATGGATCACCTCATTCACTCTTCAGTCACCCTTGCATGTAAAGAGTATAAATCCACTTAACAAACAAGGAAACTGTGACTTCCAGAGGCTAAACAGCTTGCTTGATGTCCTTAAGGAAGCAGTGCAAGCAAGCAGGATTCAAGCCCAGGGCTGCCCAGGCCTGCATTCTCTCTATTACATTATGAACCACAACACCTCAGTCACACCAAGTTCTTAATAAATGTCATGATGGTAATTGAGATTATGATAACCCAGACCTACTATACATCAAACTACAGTCTCTATCAAATGCTTGTTTAATTTTTAGGCAACTTACATGGGAGGAAAGAAAAAATAGCAGCCAAAAGCCATTTCAAACAGACAAGCTGTGAGGTCAATTTCTACGAGTATACTTTTTGCCAAAAAATGATTATATAAAATATAAAAGGCTCTTTCACACTGAACAGGACATAGTTCTCAAAGCAACATCCAACCTTTGCAAAGAGGTTTTAAAATGTCACAGCTGCGCATGAAGCCACACGCTCTCTACTTCACGGCAGAGGGGAACACAAAAGGAAGATTCTGGGAAGCAGTTACTCTGCAGCAACAAGAAAACCTGCTTGGGCTTTCCAATGATGTATTTACTGCAGTAATACCATGTCACCAAACGGTCTAGGAACAAAATACTGCTCTGGGCACTTTGGGAGGGTTCCAAGTTATAATACCCAGGTAGGATTTTTATGGGATTTTGTAAACCTCAGGCAAACATCTCAGTATATAAGTTTCAAAGAAAATCTGTAGAATCTGTTGGGTGGTGGACACACATGCTCAGTGCAGCTTCCTTGATCCCTTT